ACCACGACCTAGCGTTCAGGAATGTTAAGAAGGCGTTGCTGTCACCACCAGTCTTGGCACCCTTCGACCCGTCCTTACCAGTGGTCCTCCAGACCGACGCCTCCCGTCTATACGGCCTCGGATATGCCCTCCTTCAAGATCACGGCCAGGGTAGACTGCACTTAGTTCAGTGTGGCTCCAGGTTTTTGACCGACACGGAGACCAGATACGCCACCATCGAACTAGAGATGCTGGCAGTCGCCTGGGCTATGGCCAAGTGCTGCCTTTACCTGTTCGGCCTTGGGCATTTCACCCTCATGACGGACCATCACCCGCTCCTACCCATCCTCAATCACTACACGTTGGACGCCATCGAAAATCCTCGCCTCCAACGTTTCAAAGAGAAGACCGCCCCCTACGTCTTTATGGCTGTGTGGTGCGCCGGTAAGCTTCTGTGCATACCAGACACCCTCTCCTGAGCCCCTGTTAGTCGCCCCACACCTGAAGATGAAATCGACTGTACCACGGCCGCGGCTCACGTTCGGTCTTTAGTGACACACACAGCCACTTCTCTTGCTGACAAGACGACGACGACGCCCTCCATCGAAGACAACAGGACTCTCCAGGAGCTTCGCATCGCCGCTGCTCAAGACCCGGCATACGTCCAACTCCTCGACTACGTCTCCGCTGGATTCCCCACCAACCGCTACGACATTCACGCCTCCGTCCTCCCCTTCTGGAAGCTAAGGGATAGCCTCTATGCGGACGGAGAGCTGGTGTTGTACGGCCCCAGGATCGTCATTCCCGCTGCCCTCCGCTGGCGCACCTTATCCCGCCTCCATGGCAGCCACCGCGGCGTTGAAGCCACCAGGAACAGAGCCCGTCAGACCGTCTTCTGGCCTGGTATTGACGCCGATATTAAGAGCACGGTGGAGGCCTATGAGCCTTGCCAGCAACTCCAGCCCAGCCAGCAACAAGAGCCGTACCTGTGCAATGACCTCCGGAAGCGGCCCTTTGAGTCCGTGTCCACCGACTTCTTTCATGTGGCCGGAAAGTCTTTCCTGGTGGTCGCCGACAGGCTCTCTGGATGGCCCGTGGTAGTTCCCTGTGGTCGGGACACCACCTCTTCCAGGGTCATCCGGATGTTTTGTTGCTTCTTCCGGGAAGTCGGAGTGCCTCTCCGCCTCCGAACCGACGGTGGGCCCCCGTTCAATAGCCACGAGTTCAAGAGCTTCGCCGAACGCTGGGGCGTCCACCACATCGTCACCTCCCCTCATTACCCGCAGGCGAATGGCCACGCCGAGGCAGCGGTAAAGTCCGTAAAATACCTCATCCTCAAGACAGCACCGACGGGGAACCTGGACTGCGAGGAGTTCGACAGGGGCCTACTGGAACTCCGTAACACCCCTACCCCTGCCGGACGCTCTCCTGCCCAGGTGTTGTATGGCCGCCCCCTTCGTACTTGTGTGCCTGCCCACCCCCAGTCCTTCTTAGATGAATGGCAGATCAAGGCGGACGAGTGTGACCGCCGTGAGGCTGCCCGGATGGCCCAAGTGACAAGCCACTATGACGCCCACGCCCGCCCCCTTCCCAGGTTGACTGTCGGCCAGCAAGTACGAATCCAGGACCCGACGTCACACCGCTGGGACAAGGTCGGGGTCGTCATGGGCCTTGGCGAGTCTCGTTCGTACCAAGTCCGCCTCCCCAGTGGTCGTGTGTGGTGGCGAAACAGACGCCATCTCCGCCCAGTGCCATCCTCTAGTGACGAACCTTCCTCCCCGTCCCCTGTGTCCCCTTGCCCAGACCAGGAACGAAGGTCGTCAGTTGATCCTCCCATTGTCCCTCGCCGCCCCCCCCGACTCATGGAAAAAGAGTCCGTAGCCGCTCGAGATTGCACTACGAGCGTAAATGGGGGGGGGGAGGCGTATAGATATGTAAATACCAAGATATGTGAACACGCCTGACGGCAAGACTCTGTTACCATTCATTCACATGTCTGTATTACTATATATTATTATAGCATGTCTGATATCTATGCTTATGTCTAATGCCTATGTCTACTTACTATGTCCCGATGTACTATGTCTGTACCGCACTTGTCAAGTAACTAGAAGATCTCATTTATTGTCCTAGTAATGTCTAGCAACTCTCCCTGCCTAGCTAGCTAAATTCTCTCAGATCGGCCCAGGCCTGGCTACGACAAGGAGTCCCTTTTGCTCGCTCCTGTTTTGTACCTGTTGGTTATCCTGCCAAGTCTTGTACTACTTATGGAATATATCTACTGCTCGTGCTCTGGAGTTTGAAGAACCTTGTCTAGGATTACATCCCACCACACCCGGAACTCTCCGATAGCCGGAATTGAAATTTTCTCGGAAGATTGTTCCCAAAGCTGTAATTTTCCGTAAAATTCCGGCTTTTGGAACTATTTTCCGAGAGGCAAATTTTTCCATAAAATTCCGTGAAAATTTTCCCGATAGCCAGAAAATTTTGGGGATGAGGGAGATTTTTTGGGGGTTTGAGAGATGAAAATCAGGTGCATTTTCTATAAATTCCGAGAAATTTTTTTCCAGTGCCCGGAAAATTCCGGGGATGGGGGATATTTTTCCCGGTTCGAGAGATGATGTAATGGGCAATTTCTGAAACTTCTGAGAACATTTTTCCGTTACCCGGAAAATTCCGGGGATGAGGGATTTTTTTTCTGGTTTTGAGAGTAATCTCATTACCCGGAAATCTCTCATTCCTGGAAGTGCTCTGCACCAATTGTTCCGGCTAATGGAGAGATCACTGTATTATTTATTTGATGTAATTTTTTGTGTGAGTGTGTGTGTGTGTGTCTACACACACACACACACACACATACACATATACATATACGTATACAATACAGGTATTGTATAAGAAATACTGTAATTGTCTTAAGAGTAAACACTTTCATTTCTTTGCACATGAGTAAAAATGTAGCCCCCTCCCCTGGATTAGCAAATGTTATTTGCGGATTTGGCTATTCGCGGCCATTTTGAGAACCTAAGCCCCGTAAATTTTAAGGGCATGCTATACTGTACTGTGCATTCTTATTCAGGATGAGTGGTGGTAAGAGACCACGGAAGAGTATATTACCTTGGAAACAAAATTAGATGTGTTAAGGAGGTTTGATCATGGGGAGAAGCCGAGTCACATTGCCAAAACATTGGGCCTTGCTACCTCCATTGTCGGAACAATCCGTGATAACAAAGACAAAATTAGGGAAGGTGCTAAATCAGTCAGCCCTCCCCCCAGGGTTGCATCTCACCATCTCTCTTACTCATTCTACTATGACTGTCATTAATATACATTACAGTATTGTACAGTATATTTTTTATTTGTTGCTCATTAATTAGTAAAGATTAGTTATTGTAATAATCTGTGATTATTACTACAGTACCTGTGCCCTTCATGTGCTATACAGTCATCCCTTGGTTATAGTGCATTTGGTTATCGCGATTTTCGATATCACGCCTCCATCAAAATCTGCACACCTGCTGTAAAAGCGCAATTTTCAAGCCGAGAATTTCGTTATCACGAAGTTGCCTTCAAGTGTTTTTACCCATTTGCTTCACCTACATCTATTGAGGATAAAATCTTTCACCTACAAATTGACAATAACACATTTGCTGGATGAAAATGGATGGAGGTAACAAAACTTGAAAGCGGTTGTACAAACACAAGCACTCACACATGCCACTCATACTGCGGACTTGACATTCACTTACTTGACAAGTTTTACCAACCATAAAGACAGTTGAAGCTTTCAACATCACTCACAATGGATCTTGAATGTTCCAACTGTAATCAGACATATCTAAGTTGCCTCAACAATTGCAACCCCAATTGCAATTTCAAATTTTGTGTCATTACTAAGGAATAACGAAGCCTCGGGTGCACTCTAAGATTGAGAGAAAACGGAGGACTCAGGCGTCCTGAAGCGATGAGGAAATGGACTCCTCAGACTGGGGACTCAAATAAAGAAAGCATAGCTACATGTTTTGTGGACTACAGTATTGAGCGTACCCTTTTCATCACTTTGTAATAAACCTAGCCATGCCTACTGGTATGTGTGTTTCTGACACTTACCATAACATTATCTATATCTTTAGTGGGTCTAAATGGTTGTAAAATGGGAAAATTGGGGTTGGGTCTTGGGTGCCTGGAACCAATTAGAATAAATCCCATAGGTTCTGTACTTTTGTTATTGCACTTTTCGTTATCACGCACTCGGTGCGGTCCCAATTAGGCATGATAACCAAGGGATGACTGTACTGTATATATCTTGGTAAAAAATAATGTTATCAGGAATGCATCTCCATATATGCAATGGCATAAAATTTATTTCTGTAACACAATTAAAATAGATTCTGTGAATAAAAGCTTATAAATTTTTTCGCAAGCAGAAAATATTTTTGCTCGTGCCTGCAGTCTAGATATAATGGGAGAGTGTTTGTCCATGCGAGATGAGATGCATAGTTTAGAGTCGAGATGAAATGCATAGTTTAGATTCTCTAAAAATTTCCTCAGTGCCCAAAAACATTCTTGGGATCTGAATTAGTCTGTCTGTGCAAAAATCATATTTTATTGGAAACTTTTACCCAATATCTGGAAAAATTCTAGGGATGTGGGATTTTTCCGTTGTCTCATTATCCAGGAATCTCTCTTCCCCGAAAGAGCTCTTTTGCACCAATTGTTCCAGCTAACGGGGATATCACTGGAAGTCATTTTTCTTTCCCAATGAACAGAATAGAATAATATTTTCATCTTTCTTTTGCCTGTGTAGGAGAAACATGTTTCACACTATACTGTAGGTTTGTTACATGGTTAACAGAATATACTGGAGAATACTTTTGCTTTCATGTTTACTTAAGTAAATCTTAGGAAGGAAATTATCCTGAAGTCTTGATTAGTTGGGAACAAATTACTTTTAGAATAGCTAATTGGGATATAAATTTGCTTATCTTTCCACTTTCTGATTCCCTTTATATCTTTTACAGATGAAAAAGTTTGTTTCAGCTCTTCAGAAGATGTCAGATAACACTTACAAATCCATGTACAGTGTTGACGAGATGAGGAGTATAGCCCGTCAGGCAAACATACAGGTTCGAGACTTTGGGGACTTCATTGCCAGTCTCAACCACCAAGGTTATTTGCTGAAGAAAGGTCGTAATGTTTATCAGCTAATGACAGCGGATTACTAGTATGAAAATTATGTGAACAATCAAATCTTCCATATGCAGGGTTTTCAAAAAGCTCAATAGCAGTTGGTGGCACTGGGAAAGTTGAAAGACAAATACTAGCAAGGGATTCAGGGTGAATGTGCCTTGTGATGACACAAATATTTAAATACAGTATTAGAAATTGGGTCTGAAAGTATAGTATGCACCTCCTTGAATATCAGATGCTAACTGTACAGCCCCCTCCCCCCAAGTTTGCAGATTTTTATTTCATGATCCTCTATTGTTTACAGATGATACTGGATGTATCCCGTCATTTTTACGGCTGAGACAGTGAGCCATTCGTTCTCGAGACATTAATTTCCTTTACCTGTACAAGTATTGTAAATATATGTGTGTCTGTGTGTAGACACACACACACACGCAAAACACATACCAATAAATAATAATTGGATAATACTCTCACAAGTAATTGGAAAAAATTATTAAAAAATGTGTCTCCTTATCCCCCCACCCCCCCCCACTCCTCCTGGCCAGGGAAGTTTCTAGAGCACGGGTGGGCAATTACTTTTTGATGGAGGGCCACTTCATGAATGGTGGCACACATCGCAGGCCACACATTTAATGTAGATACAAATGTATTATATTAACACAAAGTAAAGCCTTGTATTTGTAAATACAAATGCAGTGGTGGGCCACAGAAATAATTTGGCGGGCCAAATGTGGCCCGCAGGCCGTACTTTGCCCACCCCTGTTCTAGAGGGTCATGTACGTATAGTTTTCAACTTTTTTTGTTTTTAATTTAAAAATGTTAAAAATATTGGGGGAGAAAAGTTGATTTTTCTCCAACTACTCCTGGGTGTGGGGTACTGCCAGTGGCACACTAACCCCAGGCTTAAGGGTTAACTTACAATAAAAGAAACAAAATGTTTTGTAAATTTTTCCTAATTTGACGATTGTACTGAAAACAAAATAAACTATTAAAATTAAAAATTGTGCCATTTTTCCCTACATTCTGTGTAAACAAGAGTGGTGCTGGGGACTCTTCTGAGCCTTTAGACCTGTACCTCTATCCCACAATGATTACTGTCAAGAGAGGTAACCTTCAAGCAACTTCTAATTCCAGGTTAGGGAAGGGGTAAATAAGTACTGTACAGTAATGTGTAAACAACTGTTTATTAAGGTTTGTTACATATTTAATGATAAGTTTTACTCTTACAGTTTTTACAATAATTATGTACAAAAAATACACATACATTGTATTGTCAGCCTGCTAGTATAACTGCCTAACTCATTTTTCAGTAAAATCGAGTTATATGCCTAACTCCTCTTTCCATCAGCAGGTGCAACTGATACAACCAAACTACACCCTGTATGTGGTTTGCCCATTCTATGCCAGACAGCTGCCAACTGAACTATTTTCACCTCAAATTTGTATTACAATAAATATGTTAGTCACTTCCTGATTGATTTGATTGCTAATTAATCCCTTCACTGTGATCTTTTACTTTTTTACTTTTATCCTCTTCGCCACTGATCGGCTTGTTAGCCGCTTGGGCGATCGGTCACGTCTCTTTTCCTTTATATTCTTCACCAAAAGGTCGGCTCGCTAGCCGCCCGGGCGATCGGTCACGTCTCTGTCACGCAATGTTGGCAAATACTGGGCATGCACCGGCTCCTGAATGTACCTGAACCCGCTCCAGTGTTGGTCAAGTCTTCTCTTGAAAGAGCTCACACTCGGTGCCGTCACAACACTCTCTGGTAGATTGTTCCAAGAGTTTACAACCCTCACTCCGAAAAAGTTTGCCCTCACGGTTTTCTGGACTTGCGGCTTCTTCAATCTTGAGCTGTGACCCCTTGTGGGGCGAGCGTCCGCCAGCTCCAAGTAAGGACACTCAACTGAGTAGTGCCCCCTGAGATGCTTATAAACCTCAACTAGGTCCCCCCTTGCCCGTCTGTAGTATAAGCTAGGCAAGTTCAGGCGCTCCAATCTCTCAGGGTAGCTGAGGTGCCGAAGTGCAGGCACCAGTTTGGTGGCCCTCCTTTGAACATTTTCAACCAACTGACAGTCCCTAGCATATCTCGGGGACCAGATGGGGTGACAGTACTCCAGATGGGGAAGCACTTCACTCCTGAAGATCGTCACGAGGGACGGACCGTCTAGATATCTGAACGACCTTCTTATAAGACCCAATAATTTATTTGCCTGATTTACCTTCTTCTCACAATGGCCCGAGAACTTCAGCTCATTGTCAACATACACACCTAGGTCCTTCTCAAACACAGTCTCAACTAGTACATTGTCTTCATCCCGTTGGGACATATGATACGCCTCCTTACCGTTGGTACGCCCCAGGTGCATCCTCTTACACTTCGTGACATTGAATCTCAGCACCCATTCCTTCGACCATTCCTGGAGCCCACAGAGGTCCTTCTGCAGCTCTTCACAGTCCGCTTGGTTCTTAATTTCCCGAAATAACTTGGCGTCATCGGTCAAACATTTGTATGGAGGAGTGTACAACTTCAGGCATATCATTTATGAAACAAACAAACAACAGCGGGCCCAATACACTACCCTGCGGTACCCCACTTGTTACAGGTACAGATGACGATTTCGTGCCATTAATCACCACACATTGCTTGCGGTCATGTAGAAAGTCTTCTATCCACGCTAGGACATTTCCCCGAATTCCGTACCCTTCCAGTTTGATTTTCAGCCTTTCGTGGGGTACACTGTCGAAAGCCTTGGCAAAATCTAGGTAAATATTGTCGATATTACCACCCCGTTCTAGAATATGGGTCCAAATATCCAATACCTTGAGCAATTGTGTCAAGCAAGAGCGCCCCGGCATAAAACCGTGTTGGCAATCTTTTACAAGGTTGTTTCGTAGTAGATGTTCCATCGCTGCATCTCTGATAATACTCTCAAGTACTTTACATATTATGCTGGTCAGGCTCACCGGTCTATAGTTGTTCGTGGAGTGCCTATCGCCCTTCTTGAAGATAGGACTCACATAAGCCACTTTCCATTCACTGGGGACCATTTGTTCATCCAGGCATTTACAAAACAGAATCTTCAGGGGCTCTGCAAGCTCGTTGCACAGCTCCCTTAGCACTCTAGGATGCACCATGTCAGGTCCAGGACTCTTATGGACCTTTAGCCTGGACAGTTTATTTCTAATACCCTCTTCTGTGAACACAATGTGGGTCAGTGCTGTGTCGAACCGTCTGTCCTCAAACGCAGGAAGGTTAGTTGCATCCTCTCTTGTGAACACTGAGGAAAAGAAGCTGTTCAATGCCTCAGCTTTATCCTGGTCAGAATCTGCGTAACTACCATCTTCAAGCCTCAGGTCTGATACTCCTACTCGCGTTTTCAATTTCGACTTTGCATAGCGGTAAAACGCCTTTGGGTTTGACTTGACCTCGCGTGCAACCAGCCTTTGGAACTCCTTTTCAGCCCTCCTACACTCTATCTTTGCTTGGTTTCTGGCTCTTGCATACATCCTCCTGTCTTGCTCATCGTTTGACCCAACCCACGTCTTGAATTTCTGGGTTTTCTTCTTAATTTTGTCGACCGCCGCATGGTTCATGTGTAGGGATCCCCTCGTATTCCTAGAAGCACTGGGTTTGGTCTTGGGTATATATTTATCGATCAAATGGGTCATTTTACTAGTTATGATATTCAGCGTAGTGTCTGCGTTCTTGTACCTTAATAAGTCAGGCCAGTTGATACCCCTCATCTCTTCCCTCATCCCATTGTAATTTCCCTTGTAATATTTGCACCTTGGCCTGGCCTTATCTTGAACTAGGTAACAGTTAAATCTGAATGACAACACTGTATGGTGACTGGTGCCAACTGGGGCAAGGTGTTCCAGTTTGGCCACCATACCCTCCTCGTTTGTTATGATGAGGTCAAGTGGCTTGGGTGTTTGCTCCCCTCTGTAATGTGTCGGGTCTCTCACATGTTGGAACAGAAAATTATCTCTCAGAGTTTCTACAAAAAGAGTAGCAGGATTATTCAAGTCATTCGGGGTTGACTCGTTTCTCCAGTCGATGTCGCCATAGTTAAAGTCCCCCATGATAAGGAGGTGGCTGGGGTTGAGCATCGCCGCATTGTTTATTAAGGTTCTTAAGTTCCTTTGATTTAGTGGGCCACAGTTCGGGGATCTGTAGATACACCCGACGATAAGTAAGTCCCCTCCCTTTAATTTAATTTTACACCACTTGGACTCTTCAAAAACATCCTCTCCCTGTACCCTCGCCTGGCTGGCTCTAAGGTCTTGCCTAGCGTAGATAACCACACCCCTCCTGCAGGATTCTTGAGTTAGGTTCGTAAATGAGTCATATCCAGCAATACTGAACTCACATTCCTCTGGGTCGATTCTCCTGTTCTTGTACAACAGTTCTACAACTCCTACAATATCTGGTTGGTGTACTCTTAGTAGTGTTTCAAACTCCTCCCTCTTATCAAGGAACGTGTCAGTATTAGTGTACATGACATTCAAGCCAGAATTTGTTCTCGGTAACGTCTCTGCTCTTAGTAATAAACCCGCTCCACCCACATTCTCAGAAGCTGCAGCATTTGCTAAGTACACTGTATTTTGCAGGGTGTGGTTAAAAATGTCATTGTTTACACGGCGCTCGTTCCCTCCTGTCCGGTAGGCTGAGCTGGTGCCGCCTCCCGGGTGGGGGGTTGAGTGGGTGGAGGGTGCACTGCTGCCCCCTGGCCCTGTGTCGGCACACTTGTTTCCACTACCCTCCCCCTGAGTATAACCCATGTGCACCTGTCCCCGTTCCTCCTCGACTCCTCCCTCTTCTGCTTCAAGTCCAGCAGGAGCTTCTTGTGCTGTTCCCTCTGCATTACCGTGCGGTCTGGGTGAATAAATACATCCCGAAATGCCTCGCTCCTTGCTAAGTTTTTTGCCTGCCGGATAACTTGCCATTTCTCCTCCTCACTCCCTAGTGTGATCCTGAGGGGGCGAGGCTTAGCCCCCTGCTTTTGTCCCAGTCTCCTCACATCCTGAGGGGTTGCTGGAATCTTCAGAACCTCTGTGCAAATATTTTGAAACAGCACCTTGTCGTGTGTTTCCTTACTCACAGTTCCCTCTGCCTGGCTCTCTGGGACTCCAAAAACTATTACATTGTTCCTGCGCTGGAGCCGTTCCTGGTGTTCCTCCTCTCCCCTAACAGTCGGTGCGTTAATTTTCATTTCTTCGACACACTTTTTCAGAGTCCCAATCTGCTGTAGAACCTGTACTGATTCTGCATTACTCTCCGCCCCCCCCGTGGCCCTCCTAATACGTCAGCATAACTCCTCTTAGCAACCACCTCCATTCTATTAGCTACTTCCTCAGTCTTAGCAAGGATCTCTTTCTCAACTTGCTCCAGTTTGTCAACCAGCAGGGCTCCTGCTTCATCTATTTTCGTCCCTAGAGAACTCGTTCCCTTATGGATTGCAATCGCTTCATTCACCTTGACTATGCAGCCAGGGCAATACCAGCAACAGCCATCAAGCTTTACGGCAGTTAGTAACCTCCTAAACGCTGCATTAGTTAGGCCTGCATCCTCCATATCCGACGTCTCCCTGCAGTAATCACATATCAAACTCATGGTTGTTGTTGTTGTGGGGGGGGGGGTGCAGACTGTGTATAAATCTACACCTATTTCAAAGAAAATAAAGAGAGAAAAAGTACTTAGCTACTCTCTGTTGCCTATGGAGTTGTCGTCTGCGACTGCGTACACTGTATCTCCCTGTCAATGGTGTAATGTAGGCACAGTTTCAGTCCTTGAGAAAGCACACAATCAACATAAAATTTAAAGTCTCTGTGGCACCTATGACACGACTTGGTTTCAGCTGGCACGGTGCCTTTCCAGCTTGCTTGCTAGTGAGCGCTCACTTTAAGTTATTTACAACTTCAGCGGTCACTGATGACACTATGAACTATCACTGAGTACACTGTATTTCCCTGTGAGTGGTGTATTATAAACACAGATTCAGTCCTTGGGAAAGCACACAAACAAAATAAAATTTAAAGTCTCTGTGGCACCTATGACACGAATAGGCTGGCAGTTGTCCTTACCAGCTCGATTGCCAATATGTATTCACTTTAAGTTATTATAGTCTCTTCTGCATTCACTGATGACAACTATGAACTGATTTAACCGAAGGCACAGTACTACACTCCCTGGTTGGCCTTTATCACAGCCGTGACCACAACACCCTAAAAAATAAAATAAAATAAAAGCTTTGTCATGTGGCAGTGATTGTGTGGTTATAGGCCTGTGACCCTGGCTGTACCTCCAACTCGGTGGAAATTGAGATTTCAAAAATACAATCATGTCTAGCATGAAAAGTCCGACATCGATTTACACTTTCACCTCACTAAGACGATCTTGACGAACTTATGTAATCACTGTCCAATTTCTGCCGCTCTACATCGAAGGCCCGAATGCCGAACACGCTTTGTTACAGAGACGCAACACGACCCGCCCGCCCGCCTAACTTGCCGAGTTATATATATATATATA